CCCCAAAACCCCAAAACCCCAAAACCCCAAAACCCCAAAACCCCAGCTACTTTGAATAAAATTGAAATAATATTGATGAAGACGAAGTTAATTCTAAGAATATTTATGATAGCCCTACTAGTGAAACTTTCAATTCAGTTCGAAATGGGGAGATACCTCTTATCTAGCTCTTCTTCTACATGCAGGACCTGTTTAGAAAACAGCAACCAGAAGTGGTGCATCTTCAAAGGAGTTAGTAATAGTGGAGAATGATGCTCTTCAAGTTCAACCTCTGGATATTGTGCTGGAGACGGCGTCTACGTCTGCTCTGATGATAGCAAGATCGATGGAACAGCTGGACTCAATACCAATGGGGGTTACATCTTATGTCCAACATATTACTCAGATTGTGGAACTCTGACACAAAATATCTATTATTCTGATCAGAACTGGTCAACAAAACGAAGGTCTATAAGTTCAGATGCTGTATGAGTTTACAAAATCAAATCCACTGCCACTTTTATAAAGAGCTTAACGATCGAAGTTAGTAAGCTAAAATGCAATTCATCTTAATAACCAACCTGTAGATAATGCAACAAATGCTGATATAACGGTGTTCACTAGTTTTGAAGACTATGATTATGAAAAGGAGGGCTCCATGAGCCCTGGAGATACAAAGGCAGTATATATAGAGTTTAATTCGGAAGTTTATGTAGTAGTTCACCCTACATCGTCGATTAATTCAATAGATATTGACTTTCAAGTTGGTAATTCTGAAAGGTAAAATGTTTGGTTACTTTTTATAGCACTCTTAGCGCAGGAGCAATTGTTGGAATAGTTATGGGCACGATTTGTTGTTTCTTCATCCTTATGTGTGGAGCAGTCCCAACAGGTGTATATTGTGCTATTAAGAAAGCCAGAAGGCATTTAGGAAATCAAGGAACAGCAAATAATCATGCTGCTACATCTATTCAGGTGAATCCATCGTCTCAAATGAATACCGGTCAAGCTCCTCAGCCTCTCTATATTTCTCATAACACCTCAATAGCTCAGCCTCCAAGAATGCAGGGTGACCCAACCACCGACCCAAAGTAAGCCTTAGCCTAACTCTTCAGCATGGCCTACGACCAAAATAACACGCTTCAACCCCAAATAGGAATTCCCATTTCCGGAGAAAACAACAGACTTCCCGTAATAGACGGTATGCTTGCCTTAACCTTGGTTTAGGAAATCCAATTGCCCCTGTGCCTAAAGCCAAAATGGGCTAAGAGCAATTTCAATCTACCTAATCATTTCTGGGGTTTTGGGGTTTTGGGGTTTTGGGGTTTTGGGG